CCCTTTGGGCAATGTTATTCCTAGAGAGAGAGAGAGAGAGAGAGAGAGAGAGAGAGCGAGAGAGAGAGAGAGCGAGAGCCCCTAATGGCCAGTTAGTGGGCTCTAGGTCAAACTGTCCCCAAATTTGTTATTTGTTATTATTACTTGTTTTCATGTCACTTGTCTGTTTTCTACTGCACCCCTCTCCCCAAAGCAAAGCAAACATTAGCAGCACATTGACCGTAGTCAGGCATCCTCATTCCATAGGTGCTATAAAACATTTCCTGTAAAAGAATCACAGTTTTCAAGACAGGGTGTGTCTCCCCAACACTCTCACCAGAATACAGTGTAATAGCATCCCCAACTCCTAACCCATAAACACCGTTTCTTCACACATCCGCCCAGAAATCCTGTAATAGAAAAACATTAAAACTGTAACCCTGTAGGGAAGAAAATGTAAATGGTAACGCTGCGCAGTTACCTCTGTAAGCAACACAAGACACAAAAATGGCATTTACAGGTTCACTCATCCTCGAATATTTTGTCATCCTTCTACTCCTGTAAAAGAAACCCACATAAATTCATCCACCCTTTTATCCTATCTAGGTGGAGGTGGTTAACCTTGAGTCATGGTCAAGTCTTGTCATCTTTTACCAGTCAGTCCGTTTGTTTTTATTCCCAGTCTTTCATCCATTCATCCGTTCTTTGCTGATAGTGGAACCTGTCGTCGCATCTAGTTTCCACACTCAGCAAAATGACGTCATCTCAAAAAGAAACAAGAACTTGAGTTTGGATTACCTCGCTGAATCCGTTTTTAAACAGGGACTCTCGTTTCTAATTGTCCCCACAAGTGTTTCCTCCAGAACCCATTTCAATGCGGAGAAACTCACTTACAACAATTTTCTCGCCGACGTGTAATGCTTGTAATTTCCGATGTGCAGATCTGCTTAAAGAAAAGATTCACAAACAAAAATCAGTAAATATAAAACAAAATAAAATGAAAAATAACAAAAACAGAATGCAGACGCCCGGGTCTTAGGACTTGTCACTGAATATTCTTCCCATCAATAAAAATACCAACCTAAACCTACACAGAGTCAAATCAACACCACCTCAACCTTTTCATATTCATAAACCTATATGTTTTGCGTTCGTGAAACAAAATTGAACCATTAAGTAAGTTGAGCTCTTGAAATGTTTTAATTCTCTTAATTCTGCCAGTTTATTTCAACACTTATTCAATGACTTTTATTCAACTGCTACTTGGTCACTCGACTTTTACCTGTTCAAATTGCCTAGGGTTCAACAAAGTCTAGATCCCCGTTATCATGAAACTTGAACGGTGTACGATGATTTACTTACAGTAATTTAGAATCATCACTCAACCTAGCTCTACTACTGGCACTGCGTGACTTTTCTCACACTGGAAACCAGAATTTAGTACAGAACTTTAATGCCTCAGGCAATCGCGTTCAAGGGCTGCCCCCCCTTCTCTTCTTCTTTGTCCGTGTGTTCCTCCTTTATTAAATCTCCATCACAATGACGTGGCGCTCTGAAATAAAACTCACACTGTTAATTCCTCGTTTTCACTCTGCACCACTGCTCAGAGTGTTTTCTTTTCTTTTTAGTGTAGAGTAAACAATTAAGTCGAGGCCTTAAGCCCCAGATATCTCGCACGGGCATCATTTTCATAACCAAACCGCTCCGGACTCTGCTCCCCAGACCACACAAATGCCCTCTGGGCTTATTATTATAGCAAATTCTGTATTTGACTTTGTTGTGTGCAGCATTGAGCCTTTGTCAGTAAAGCATTCTTCATTGCAGCAGCTGGAGCATTGTGTGTCACTTCTTAGTAAATTAAATCAACATTTTGATTTTAGTGCATGGGTATGTATCAGTTTTTACTCCCTCAACAAGTGCATAAGTGTTCATGTGTGTGTTTCCCTTCATTCTAAGTAGGCGCATGCAGAAGTGTGTGTTCGTGTGTTGGTATATGTTTGTGTTCATCACCTTCCTGTTCTGTAGTTTAGGTAAACCAGCGGCCTGACGCATGGCCTAGGGTCCTCCCCTCCTCTTTGGGTCTGTTTATGTTGTCCTTACTTTGCTCCACGGCCTTCTGCAGCTCTGCTGTTCGGCTCTTCTCAGAGGTCAGCATCCTTCTGCTCACCGTCCCTTTTCCTCCGGGCTTAATGCGCGTCTCGTCACAGCTCTGTCAGCTGACGCAGCCTGGGAATTTCCCCCGTGTAGTGAAACGGGCTTTAGGTTTAGTGCTCTCCGTCTCTGCTGCATGAGATCACTCTTTTGCAGCACTGTTGACATCCTCAAGTTGTTGTTGTGAGTCCAGCTGCTGTGGCCTTCAGGGGTCAAAGGGTCAAAGATGGTCGCGGAGAGGGCAACGATGGTAGAGGGGAGGGTAGGAGTCCAGGTCAGCTTCGGCTCTCAGAAAAAACAAAAACAAAACAAAACAGGCGAACAGGAAAATGATGTTGTGTTGGCTGTGCTGTGTTGGCTGTGTTATCCCGAGAGGGGAGAAACAACGAGATCTCGTCTCCCCCCTTTTTTGTTTTTGTTTTTTTTTTTTTTTTTTTTCCATATAATCAACTCATAACCCTCAAGTTGACAGGACAACACAGGTACGTGTTAAAATTCTTAAGATCCTGTTTAGAAACCTAAAAAGGAATTTCCTATCATTCAGTAGTCATTTGTCTTAAACAATCAACAAAAACATGTCCCAAGTCGACCCTTTTAACCACTAAATTTGTCGTGTCCTCACTTAATCCTCAGACCAGTGTCTTTGTCTTTTGACGTTACGTTGTTGTCCTGCAACCCAAAGCGTTTAATTGTCAGTAATGTATAAACTATATCATTTAGAAACAGGTGTATGTTAAGTGTCGCTACTTTAACCTTGCATGTACGTGCACATGTATGTAAGCTGTTTCTTCATTGCATGTATGGGTGCGTCTGTATATGGGTTACTTTAACTTTTTCTCAAACGAGGTATTTCTCTAACACGCACATGTGTCTGTTCCTCACCCTTCTCATATCTTTCTCTGGTTGTGTGTGGTTTTATTTGTTTCAGTGATTTACCAGGAACATCTTTTCCTTTTCTCCATGTCTTCCGCCAGAGGTTAACACTGGTGAGATTCAGGGACACAGCACCCAGAGCAGTTCAGCGAGAAAAACCCGCCTCAAACTACATTCTCTCTTTTTTGTTTTACCGGGAGGGGTGAGGACAACTCTGGTGTCCAGCCGTGAATTTTAGCCAAAGCTTGGCCTGTCTTCTGCTGCCGTACTCAGGCTTCCAGGTTAAGAAAAAACACCTGTATGAAGACACTAAACATACATTTAGTATTTGTATAAACATAACTGCCTAAATCATTGAACTCTTGAGGAGGGTGTATTTCAGAATCAGAATCAAAATCAAAAACTTTATTGTCATTGTCATGAGACCGACGACATTAAGAATGGTCCCCGATCATTGCATCATCCCTAGTAATATCAAATATAAAAAAAACAATAAAATTCAATCAATAAAATAGATAGAATACTTAAAATACTAAGTATTCCCACCGTCATGCTTCAGACCGTGCATAGATTAACACAAGAGTGGCATGGTGGACATTTTTGTAGTATTCAGATGTGTTATTGCAGTTGGATAACAGCTGTGTTTGAGTCTATTAGTCTTTGCTCTGATTGCCCTGTACCGTCTGCCTTAGGGCAACAGTTCGAACAGGGAGTGGCCAGGATGTGAGGTGTCTTTTATGATGTTTTGGGCCTTTTTTAAAACAGTGGGCGTTGTTTGACTCTTTACTAACTTTAAAACCCCACCATAACAATTTCTCACTGACAAACTTCTATGCATCCATTTAAACATGCGAAGCCAGCACAAAATCACACACATACCCCTACAGCAAAGCTTTAACATAACCACAATGCAACTCCTCCCTTAAACGGGAGAAATCACCCTGAATCAACCAACTCTATATAAAACGTCAAACAAAGATAAACCACAAACATTTCTACACTTCTGTGTCTTACACGCAGCACAATAGGCAGAAAAACACCGATTACTCACAGTCTACAACAAAAGAAAAACCTGCTCTTTTCACAACTCTCACAGCTAAAGTCAAAACTCTTACCCAGTGCCTCTGAAATAGTAAAAAAAATCACCAAATACTCGATTACTCTTTTCACTCGCTCCCTCTCACTCCCTTCTTCCTCATACAGCATACACGCTCGCTCCCGCGGACCCGCTCGGCCCGCGGGCTCACTCGGCCCCCACCTTTTTCCTCTCACAGAGACAGAGAGAGAGACCCTTTTCCTTTTTTTTATTTCTCCAGCACACATACACACACAGAATCCCAACTGAGAGAAAGAGGGAGAGAAGAGAAAAGAGTTGTAGAGAGGAAGTTTTTTAGCAGGAGTTTCAGATCTAACAGATTTATACAACTTATTTACACACACCGGTAATTTATGTTCTATTTATTGATTTTAAAGGAGAATTTGGGCCAGCTGGGTTTCTGCCTCTGTTAGGCACTAACAGCTGGGGCGCTGCTTTAAAGGTGAGTCAGCACTGAAATATCCCTTCAGGTGTTACCAGGCTTCTACCAAACCGGAGTCTGGCGGGTAACCTTGCCTAGAGCTTCCTGATAGGGGTGCTAGTTGGTTGTCACCTTGTTCACACGTCTCATTCACACTTCATACATTACCTGCAGTCACTCATTACCCTCCTTATGTATGTAATAAATGTGTAAAAAAATTCTATGTGTGGTGTATTATTTTAACCAAAAGAGGAACCTAGTTCCTTTAATTGTGTAATCTGTGAACAACGGAGAACCAAACTGTCCTGCCCAGTGTTCCACAGCAAGCATTCAGCGTGTATTTATGTGTGTCCAATATCAAACAGAACATCAAAACATTTAAAACACTAAAATCATCGGGGTTTAAGAAGAGATCCGTTTTCTCCTATTGATCAAAGGGACCCCTCCTTTGGACTCCAACCAGTACTTCTCCTTTTTAAGTTTTAGAGGATCTTTTCTAATAAAGTCCTCTGGGCCTTCCTAACCCTTCTGTAGTTTAGAGAATATTACTAAAAAATATTCTCAAGGCCTTTAACCTTTTAATTTGTTTAGAAAGGCGTTACTAATAAACCCTTTCAAGGTCCCAGACCTGCACTGAGGTATGTATCCGACACCGGAGAGCAACCCGTCGGCTGCAACCGTGGTCAGACCTCAGTTCACTCTTATCTTTATTCACTTATTCACTTATTTCTTATTCACTTATCTCTTATTCACTTGTCTGATTCTCAACAAGCCTTAAGTAAGCCAGACAATTTTGGTTATGAATTACTAGGAGTTTGGACACTAAGTATTTTTATAATGTTCAATATAGCAGAAATAAAAGGTCTGCTTACCTTGTTTTTGTGTGCACACAGCTTTTGTCCAAACTCCGTTCACTCAAACCACGGCCGATGTCCTCCCACCCGTTCCAGTTGCCCTGGAGCGGATCCTGTTCGTGACGCCAATTGAAGGATTTAAAAAAAACAACAACAGCAATAGAATAATATTAAACACAAAGTGAACCCGTCTTCCTTCATTAAATAGGTTCTTTTAGATGTTAAGGAGGAATTGACTTAACCAGGCTGGCGGAGAATGAAGACAACCGGACACCTGCGGCAGATGGGGAATCAGTGAACTTTTATTGAGACAGAGACAACCTCTCAACACAGCTCACATCAGGAGATTCCTAATATTTGCTGTGAGGATGGGTATATATTCTCTAAAACTTACAGGAGGGGGTTGTGAGGAAAGTGCTGCATTAGCAGAAAAACAACTCCATAAAAGGAAAGCGGCCTTGGGTGTTCTAGTCTCTTCGCTTGCAGATATCTTTCACCTGCAGGATGAGGCGATCGCTTCTTATCGCTCTCAAGGCCAAAGTCGTGAGCACATTTTTATTACACAGTTGCACAGTAACTTTAAAGCTGAACAATATTTAAAGCTGAATAATGTTTGATCAGATTATATTTTCTTCATTAGCTTTTGTGCTCTTGAGAAACGAAACCAAAGAAGAAACAACACTGTAAAAAAATATTCCGTAGAAAAACAGAAAATGTCCTGGTAATTTTCTGCCAGTACATTTTCTGTTTTTTTACGGAGGTTTGACGGACCTTTCTGTAAATGATAAAACGGAAAATTCTGTAGATTTACAGTATACTCTCTGTACTATTTACGGACATTTCCTTCAGCTATAAAACAGAAAATTCCGTTTATTCACAGTATATTTTCTGTATCATTAACTGATATTTTCCGTTAATAGAAAAATTGAAATTTCTGTTTATATTACTATTTCCAAGCACTTCTTTTCACTGTAACTCATTAAATATAGTTCTTTATATCCTTAAACATACATTTCTATGCAATTACAACCTAGTACACCATGTACTCAAAAATTCATAAATTAAAACTTAAATTAATTTGTGCTTCGTACACAACAACATTGGTACAATTAATGTTAAATATTCTTTTATTCTCCTTAACTCAAACACTATACTTAAATATAATGACAGCATCCATCTTGTCATAAAACTACTAAACAGCTGATACATGAACAAAATAACTCACAAGCTTTCAAATTTGAGAATTTTTATTTCCTTGAAATCAGGTTGCCCTCATGTAAATGTGTTTATTTACATTCATTCAAGTGGCTACCAAGTGTTTTCTTCAAACAGGACACCTGACAAACAAAAAATGTCATATTTAACGACATGTTCACATTTAATAATATCCAGAGTACCTTTTAGTTAGAATCACTGCCTTGTGGTAGTTTTGCCTCAGCCAAATGGTTAAGGTGTGGTTTACATCCATCTCTGTCCACTTATGATACAGTATACACATGTAGTCAGTTATAGCCAAACACCTTTGATTACTGAATTGCATTCACTTCATTAATGAAGTGAATGTAATTCACATTTGCGTGAACATTTGTCTGAGATTAACTCTTTGGGCTCTTTACCTTACAATATAACATACTTGAGTCAAAATTTGTTGACTGTTTAAGTGGTGCCACATGAATACAACTGAACAGATCTAAAGAAGATGTTCCTGAACTTTGGGTTTATTCGAACAGGACTGATGGATAACCACAGGACTTTTCCCCATATGATAACTACAACACATAATAAATTAAGACAGATTACTGTCCCAAACTTAAAGATAAAAGTGTATTTACGGGACTTGTTTTGTCAGTGAGGAGCAAAGTATAATTAGAAGTGCTTGTTCTGATGAAAAGTTAAACTGTAAACAGCAGCATAGTGAATAAGGATCTGTGTCCAAGAATCCTCAGCAGTGACAACACTTAAACATCATAGTTCAAAATCCTTAATGCACACCTTTTTCTCCACGGTGTTCAAATTCTCTAAGCTGGTTAAGTAGAGGAAAAAGTCTGACATATTTCATGACCATTAAATGTTAGACAAGGCTCTGAAAACGAGGTTACAGTTACAAACAAAAACCTCTGCTTGTGCGCACAGACCCTAAATCACAACAAATAAGACAATAGTAAGACAAATTACTACAAAGTCTTGTTACCGCTCTTCATATAACAGTGTGACAAAGTCCTGAATGCAGCCTGCATGTTAGTACATCAAGGTCCATCTGAGCTTTAAGTAAAATACACTCAGCTTTTTCTTGGATTTTAAGAGTTGCTCAGTTCATACAGGAACTGCAGCAGTCGGAGTTAACGTGTCGCTGTGTTGCTCCTCCGTGTCAGCCATTGAGACTAGTCGCAATTTATTCTGAGGAAAAAAAGAGAAACAACAAGACATTTTTAAAAAGTTTGTATTTTTATAATTTTTTTTTACCTAGAACATAAACAACATTAACAAAAAAAGGATTAGGGCTGTGCGATATGACGATATATATCAGATTACGATATAAAAATGTCTATCGTTTCATATTATACACTATTCTTTGTTTTGTGGTGTTGCAAAATAAACTGTTTACGGCAATATTTTTTTCATGGTTTTGATGGTCACTGTAGTTGCTATATTATTTCTTAAAGTTCTCTCCTTCTCTTATACTTAAAATAACCACACTATGGACGGACAAGTGACTGTTTTTAACGCGTACTTTCGTTACCAACAATGAGGATAAAACCATCGTGTGGCTCCGCCGTCCGCTTGTTTATTTTCCACATAAACCTTTCACAATAAAGCTCAAGTTTCTGTTGAGACTTTTCAAACTAAACTGAAATGATATACATTATTCTCAAACATAAAATTTCAGAATATGCATCAAACAAATGACCTCAAATAAAAACATCAAGTAACTATAAATGGCGCTTACAGTCACCACGCAGATGAAGGCACAGAGAATACCAGCATGGCCAGCAAGGATGAGGCAGAACCAGAAGGACCAGTCAAAAGAAATCGAGGACCTTATTGTTAAATGAGGGGCTACCTCTGTAGCATGGACATGGTTTGGTTATGAAAAGTCTGACACGCCCCAGAAAACTGTACTATGCAAATTATGCCACAAACTGGTCCCCACCACCACTCGAACACGACAAACCTCTTTAACCACCTACACAAGAATCACATGAAAGAGTTTCGAGAGAGTTTACTAATGAAAAGCAAAAAAGAGTCGTCAGGTGCTCAAAATAATCCTTAGACTCAAACGTTAGAACAGGCTTTTCCTTGCAGCACGCCGTCTAATAAATACTCAGAAAGAAAATGGCGGCCATTTAAACTCATGTCTAAAAATGTATAGTTTCATGCATCGGTCAAAACACTCGACTCCTGGTACACGACGCCCAACTGAAAACATTTCACATAAGTCGAGTTGCCCGAGAATCACAGAATTTACAGAAAATGCACTATTTTGTGATATATATCGTTATCAGGAGAGATACGTCTTATATTGGGATATGAGACTTTGGTCATATCACGCAGCCCTACAAAGGATTATAATTCACGTAGAGTTGCATACACATAACACCATTCTGTTGCAACAAAAGCAGTTTATAATTAAAGTAACATACATACCTTGAAAAACTAAATCAACCACAACATTAAACTCACCTTGTGTTTGTAGAGAAGGTGATCAGGGTTTTTCTTCATTTCCTGAGACCAGCTGCTCTGGATCATCACCAGCTTGTATCTTCATCTTTTTTTTCACTCGGGGAAGTCTTTCCTTTTCTTGGCCATTGCTCTGCACTGGAAAACCAAAGTGTGTGATCAAAGGTGAAATAAGGGATATTTTTCCACTGCAGGACTTAAAGTGCTTCAAGTAGTGATAGCTGTTGATCCATTTCTCAAATAATCTGTAAGGATCTGGATTTTTAAGAAAGATACAAATATCTCTGCTTATATTTGGCTAAAAGCTTGATATAGACAAGGCATATAGAGCCCCTGCACACCAGCACTGCACGTACATTATAGTTCAATCAAGAAATAGTTATTATTGATTTATTATTGATTTTTTTTAGTAATAATTTTTAGTATTTAATCACATTAGCACAGTGGGGTGACAAAAATATTCCACATACAAGAAATGCTGCTCAGCATTTCATAAATTACATTTTCAACAAATGTTGGAGTAAAAACACAGTTACAGGGAAAATGTGTCTGTCTGTAAATATTAACTAAACATTTCTATGTGCTACAAAATAGACATACTGTAATTGTAAATGTGCTGAGGTGAAACTATACTTTCAATAATTTTACCACTACAGTCTGTTAACCACCGAAATAATCTATGCTGGTCAGCTAGCTAAAAGTCTTTACTTTAGCAGCCCAAATCAGAGGCTAACATTAGCATTTGCTAGCGTCAGCCAGGAAGGTCTGAGGCTTAAACTAGGGTTAGTGTAACTTTGCCTGAAACCCTTTAAAGTGTACAGTAGAGCCAACTGTAAAACACAGGTATTGATACAGTACTTATTAGAGTCCTAGAATAATTTCTAGAACCATGAAGTTCTCACTTTCCCAGTTATCCACATCGCTGACTTTCGCTAATTAGCTAGTTAGCAGTCACAGCTGTGTAATACCCAGAGAGACACAGACAGCTAACTATAATATTTATGAAAACTGGTTCAGCCACTGAAGGGCAAAACTGGTGGTATCACAGTAAAAATTATTTTAACATTAACTAAAATAAAGCTTAAGTCATGTTAAACCTAAATAACAATTATTTTTAAAAATGAGTCAGCAAAATATTCCTGACTTGTCTGGAGACAGCCGAAACCAGTTAACAAATAAATTAACAATTCTTTCTAAATAAAAACACGGAGTCTTTTGAAAAAACATTATTTTAATAAAACGAAACATGAGTTTTAATACTTACCACAGAAATTTGAAGGCAGTTTCTCCAACTTCAGAATCCAAAATCCAGATGAAGCCTGAAAGAAGCCTAATGGCTGCTCTTGCGCTTACTTTTCCCTCCTTTTCAGGTTCTTTTTCCCACAATGCATTGCAGTAGTTGAGAAATACAGAAAAATACCTGTAAATGACTAATACGGAAAATTCCTTCACGTTTATACAGTAGATTGTACTGTATTTTTACGGATTTTTTTTACAGTGAATATATCTGCCCTTAAGATTGATAATAACATAACCACTAATCATTTAGATATCTCAAAACATGTTGGTTCATTCTACAATGATATATACAAATCAAATTGTAATATCAATGATTGCGATAGATTTATCGAGTCAGTTAAAAATTTTGCCCCAACAATCTCAGAAAACTTTAAAACTAATTGTGAACGTCCCATAACAAAATCAGAAATTTCAGAGGCACTTCGATCAATGAAAAAGGGCAAATCTCCAGGCAAAGATGGTTTATCAGTGGAATTTTATTTACATTTCTCGGATATCATTGTTGATCCTTTATTAGAATTATTTAAGGAATGCCGTGATAGAAAAGAAATGTCCACAAGCATGAAACAGGGTATTATAACTAAACCTGATAAAGATCTTCTATAGAAAATTGGAGGCGTATCACACTTTTGAACATAGATTTTAAGATCATCTCATTGGTCTATGCCAAAAGATTAAAAAAAAAAATCTTGATGAGATCATAGCTGAAACGCAAACCGGATTTATGACCAACCCCCATATCAGTTCAAACATAAGGCTTATTTTTGACCTATTACACTACCCTGACAATATAAATAATGGTTCCCTTATTGTGTTTCTTGATTTTTATAAAGCTTTCGATACGGTAGAACATTATTTCTTATTTAAAGCACTGAAAACTTTTGGTTTTGGTCCACACTTTGTGTCAACTATCAAAATGTTTTATAAAAATATTGACAGTTGTGTTATACTATATCCAAATACTACTAAGATTTCCAGTCATGAGATCTGTTCGCCAGGGTTGCCCAATTTCACCCTTTTTATTTTTGATTGTGGCTGAACTACTTTCATTACACATTTTGAATAGCCCAGTAATTAGGTTTATCTGTTATGGGTAAAGAAATCAGACTGACTCAACTAGCAGATGACACTGTTTTATTCTTAAAAAACAAAGATCAGATTGAAAAGGCTATTTCATTAATAGACAAATTCTCAACTGCCTCTGGATTAAAAATAAGTCTAAATGTGAAATTTTATTTTTGTACCAATCAAAAGTCAAATCTTTATACGATATTCCTGTCAAAAACTGTGTTAGATACCTTGGTATTCATGTCTGTAAGAATGACACGGAGCGTCAACAACTCAATTTCTCTCCCAGGATGGAAAAAACTAAAACTATGTTGAACTTATGGCTCCAAAGAGACCTATCAATTTTTGGTAGAATCCTTTTGACTGGAGGTGTTTCCAGATTTGTGTATCCAGCCCTTTCCGTTAATGTGTATGATTCCATGTGTAAAAATATTTTGTTAACTTTGTATGGAAGAATAAGCACCATCATCTGAAAAATCATTGCTTTGTGGAACTAAAAATAAAGGTGGTTTTGGCCTTCTGGACTTCATGGACCTGAACTATACATTTAAGGTGAAATGGCTAAAAGAATGCTTAAAATCTCCTGGATCATTATGGCATTTCATGCCACATAACATTTTTAGGAATGTTGGAGGTCTACAGTTCTTATTGTCTTGTAATTACAGTATATCAAAGTTACCAGTTAAAAACAGCTTGGAAACGATGTTGTTCACATAACTTTTCTCCACATAGATCTATTATCTGGAATAATGAATGTATCACTAAAAGGAACAAATCACTTTATTTGCAGAATTGGATTGATAAAAAGATAATCTATTTAAAAGACTTATTTGACGTTGAAGGCCAACTACTTAGTTATAATGACTTTATTACTGAAAAAAACATTCCCTATCAAATTTAAAGATTTTAGTTCAGTAATAAAGTCCGTTCCTAGTGGACTGATTGATTTAATGAAAGGCTACAAAAAACAGAACACACCACATGCATCCGTTAACACTCTTTATATAAATGGTATTGATCTCTTAAGCAAGAAATGCACCAATAAACATATTAGAGAATGTTTGTATAATGCGAAGAAAATAACTCCAAGAAGGAAGTTTTTTTGGAATGCTATTTTTGAAAATATCAACTGGGATAAGGCAAGGCTTATTCCTTTTAGATTTTGTATCACAAACAAAATAAGAGAATTACATTTACAACAGGAAAATACTACATAACATTTTAAAACATAACATATACACAACATTTTTTTTGTGCTCAGTTGCAGTATCCAGATGAAATTCATAATCATGCCACACGATTCTCAACCAACCACAATTTAGTAATTCCTCGTGTTAAAAGTAACTTTTTGAAAAACTCTGTTATATTCAGAGCATCGTTTCAGTGGAATAAGTTGCCTGAGGCAATAAGAGAATTGGCTTCAATTCATAATTTTAAAAATCACCTAAAAGCCTATTTAGGCAGTTTTTAATGTATTTGTAAAAATTGTAGAGGGTAATATCACTTGTAATGGAAATTGTGTATTTTGTTTGAGTGTTTTGTTTTGGTTTTCTGCTTTTATATAATTTTTAATATTCACATGTTTACATTTCAGTATTGTAAAACTTTACTGTAGATCTAATTGTTGTAACATTTTATTTGGAGATATTTGATGGCTTGGGCCCCAGGAAGACTAGCAACCACTGTTGTGGAAGCTAATGGGGTTCCTTATAAATAAACAAATAAACAAACAACATTTCAAGATTCTGTGACACTGATAGAAAATTTACCTTTTGTAAAACTAAACCTGAAAGTGTAACTCATTTGTTTAATTTCAAAACTCAACCCATTTGTTTTTGATTGAAATGGAATATTACTTAAACTCTCTTAAATCAACTTCAAATAAATTGATTGAAATTCATTCCGAAATGTTCAACAAATGAGCTGTCACAGATACAATTTTCAAGTACAAAGCTATTATGAAGTCTGTCACGTCCCTCTTTTTTCCCTGTATTTATTTATTTACCCTTCTTATTTTCAGTGTACTGCTTATTGTTGCGCTGATTTGTCCTGTATCTCGACTGTACAAACTGAACTGGAATGACTGACTGTTCACGTTACAGTTTCAAATAAAGTTTTGAAAAAAAAATTCAAGGTTAAAAAAAGTTGTTTCCAGTTTGATCACGTGATGAACAAAGGCTGAAAGTGAAAGCAGGCGAGGGTCGGGTCTGCGCCGAGTCCACAGACAGCTGCAATGTCCGCGATCAGCAGAGCAGAGGTAGGTGCTTCTGTTCTCATGTACAGCTAAGGAAGCACAACAACGTTTTTACGGCGGTCCGGTTTGCGCAGTGTAGCCTGCACCGTATCTGCGCAGTTGCTCTGGCAGCACGTAGGGTTAGAGTGCGCTGCTTTCTCTTCTTTAAGCAGCTTATACAAAACAGCGTTAACAGAGTTAACTGCGATACGGCGCTCACACCGCTGTTTAATACGACTTCCGGTGTTCTGACAAAACACCCTACCTATCAAGCTGTGAATCTCTGATTAATACGAGCACATTTCTGCTCTGAGCTCTTCCACTCGTGCTACGGTACTTTGGCTGTATCCCAGTTCAGGGTCTGCAGCCTTAAAGGCCGCATTTTAAGGCCGATTACGTCACAGCGACGCGACGAAGGTTGCTCGAAATGCGGCCGTCAAATGCGTCCTACATTTCCCTGAATTTAAGGAGACTTCGGCTGAATCCCCATTCAGGGTCTGCAGCCTTAAAGTATGCAGCCTCAACGGTCCTCAAGGGCCGCGTACTCAAAGACCGCTAAGGCCGGAAGTGTGAGGCTTGTGAAGTGGGACGGTCTAGCCTCCGGCGCGCTGCCCAGGTTGCCTAGCAACCATGATAGCTGGAAACCTGTGGTTGACAGAAAAGAAGGAGAAAATGTTTTGTTCGTTTGTTTGTTTGTTTCTACAAGAGCTTTGTGTGATTTAATAAGTATCTGAGGCTGAGACCACAGGACTGTAAAACATGATTGTTGGGCATCATATCTGTACTGAACAAAGATTAGCTAGTAAATAACAATTAGTTAATGTTGTTCATGAGACTAAAGTCAGTGTAAATGTGATATGGCCAATATTATAGTTATTATACTAATCATTATTAGTTATTACAGCAGTGAGTTTGAACTCTCAAATCAAATCATTTCTATTGTACCTGCACATCACATGTGTAGGTACACTGGTGCAGCACATGTGAGTGAACTCTGTGTCAAACACTGAGCTTCAGTAAAGATTCGAGTTGCAGCTATTTATGTCCTATCACCTTAAATCTTCACTCAAAGACACTCAAGTATTTTTGACAGTGTATATACAGATGTATTATATATAAGAGACAAATGTTGTTCCTTCAGTATGTTGTCATTACTAAATTTGGCTCAATGTTTACATATATGTGTAAAAAGCAAATGTACGAGCTGTGATAACTGTGTCTGATAGAATGAAGAGTAGACTGATATATGAAATATTCCTTTATTGGGTGAGAAAATCAGACCATGTCATAACTGCTGTAAGTCACACAGAATAGATATCAGAGCCTTAAACAGGCTGACTTCTGCTAAATGGGTCAAACTGGGCAGAAAGTCTACAAACACATAACATCCTTGTGCCGTGATATTCAGGACTGCAAACTGAGCAGCATCACTGACTTTCAGCTTGTTGTGTTTGTGGATATATGACTGACTTTAATTATCCACAAAATCATCACATTGGCCATCACAATGGTACAATACTGAACATGATGTTCTTTTTGATGGCACTATTCTTCATAACATGAATCATAATCATCATCATCATTAATGATAATACTTAGAGATCTTCCTGACCCTAACGCAGTGGAATATTCCTCTTGTTTGTTATGTAGAATAGAATAAAGTAGAGTAGATTAGAATAGAATAGAATAGAATAGAATGCCTTTATTGTCACTATACAGTTGTACAATGAGATACAGAGCATCTCCTACTCAGTGCAAACATGGGGGCGGGGTGCACAGTTCTGCAGCAGTATTAAAAATATATATAAAATGTACAAATATACAATCCGGTGTAAAAAAAAAAAAGTAAATATGTAAATAAATAATGTTTGTATATACAGTTCAGGTTGTTGCACATAGAATTTAGTATTGCACATTCATACTATCATTATATCTCTCGGCTGGCCTGGGAACGCCTTGGTATTCCCCCGGATAAGCTGGAGGAGGTGGCTGGGGAGAGGGAGGTCTGGGCCTCTTTGCTTAGGCTGCTGCCCCCGCGACCCGGCCCCGGACAAAGCGGATGAAGATGGATGGATGGATGGATGGACATTCATAGAGGAGAATGGGGGGTGGGACTGTGTTATCAGTGCATGTGTGGGTTAAGGGTGGTTATGGTTATTCCTGTTGTCCTATATGTCGTGCACAGCTGGTGTGGAGCACCAAGAATTTTGTGACAATAACAGGCTATTCTATTCTATTGTGTTTCTATTTGTTTGTCTAACGTGGCAGCTCTGGTATGGACACAGTTCTTGACTCAATATTCTGAGCTTTATTATAATGTAGTGCATTTTAATGGCATTGATGATCAAGTAACTAAAGCTGTCCTGTCTCGTTGCAGTTTTTCACAGACATCATTCTCAGCATTGATGAAACTCCTTTTAAAGATAAGGGAACATTAAAGAACATTGTTGAAAGCAGGAAGGATTGTTACTCCTATGAGAAGAAGGGTTCCTGTTACAGAGTGAAAGGAACCTTTGAACAGCTGCACAAACTTGTAAGAAGATGCCAAAGAGCGACCGATCATCACAGTACTGCTACACATGGACGGACAGGTCAGCACAGTCATCACGCTTCCACTCGTGTCAAATCTGTGGAAGTGTCTCGGGTTGTTATGGACTACATTAATAAAAAATGTGACGAAAAACTTGGAAAAATTCTTGGAAACTGTTCACTGGTCCCTGTACCACAGTCTGACATCACTGCACGGATTACTTTCAGACCACAGAGCGACTCGTTCCGCCAAGCTGCCTTTGTCAGGCAGAGGTTCATCACATTTTACCAGAGAGTTGCGTCTGACCTGCACATCATATCTGTCCCTGGGGATCTACACGAGCAGAACAAGCTGCAGAGAAAATTCCCAACTCTCATCTTTGAACCAAGCAACAATAAACTAACAGTCATGGGACCTTTTCCACACATAGCTGAATTTAAGGAGTTTCTTTGGAAAAATCGTTCAACCAAGCGTCTGGTCAGCAAAACTCCAACAGACAGTCTGAGCAACAGAATCTCAGCGTCTTCATCGGCACACAAAGATCCTGATGATGAATCCTGCCCCATCTGTATGGAAACAATAGTCAGAAATAAGAAAAAGACACTGCGGTGCAAGCACTCTTTCTGCAGCGACTGTCTGGAGAAAGCTTTTGTATACAAGCCAGTCTGTCCCACCTGTGGGGAGTTATATGGCACTCTAAAGGGGACACAGCCTGATGGAGGCACTATGGAGGTCACCAAAAACACTTCACCTTTGCCTGGTTATGAGAAGTATGGAACAATAGTCATCCACTATTATATTCCACGTGGCATTCAAAAGGTAAGAGTGCAGATACAAGGTCATTTTCTCTGTGATCTGCTTCCTGGTTTCAGGCAGACATGTTTGACCCGGTCAGACTCATAATTATTAAACACAGAAATAAGACTAAGGCATAGGCTAAAACTTAACTTTTAGTGTGTGTGTGTTTTTGTTACCCTTTCATGACCCCAGTCTGCAGCATCTAGGTTTCACATCATCATCATCATGTTCCATCTGCTCACCTCACTACCACAAAACTCTGGGCTGCACTTCCACCAGAGCACCACACCACTTCTCCTTTAAATCACATGTCAACATTCATCTGTTCAGAACTGCATACCCGCCATTATAACTTGGTCCTAGTCTCTTGGTACCTTGATTAGTTTTAGAGTTGTGACTCTGTTTACTTTATTTAATCGTCTGTTTTTATTTTGCTGTACTAATGTCAGGTGACCTTGAAATCGTCTCACGGAGCAATCTGAATCTAAAACAAGATACCTGATAGATAGATAGCCTGAGTCTAGCTCCTGTCACCACCTGGTCCTGGTGACCCTTCTACTACTCTTATCAGTACCTGCACCAGATTTGATCCTGTGTGACTCTTGCAGTGGGCGTGTTTGTCCAATTGCATGACCCTCTTGGTTGTGTTGTTGTGTTGTAGTGAGCAGTCAGTCATGTAGCTTTCCATTGCCCTAGTTCACGTGTCAGTGAATTATGGCTTTGGCTAGTTCACTGACAAAATGTAACTTGTTGTATTTAATTTTATTTATATAGAACCAAATCGCTACAAGAATCACCTGGAGGTGCTTTATATTGTACTGTAAAGAAAACCCTACAGCAGGCATGTCTGCTGCCATGAGCATCAGGCAGCATTGGTCACAGCGTCGGCCCCGCCTGATCCTGCAGGGGTGACAAACTCTGCAGCTTTTGAAGTTGTGTTGTTGACACCTCAGATACTGGTCTTATCGAGGTGTTATCACCTCGTCTGTGCGGCAAAGCTTGATTTATTGCCACTGTTATACGGTCAGTGTTGGGTGTAATGTGTCACAAAGTTCATGTTACTGGAATCACATTACATTTTTCAGTAAAACAGTGGTCTGTACTAAATTCAGTAATTACACGGTGAAAGATCAAAATCCAACACGGACTCGTGTCAACGTGAACTCTTTGATCAGAGCAGGACCCAGTGTGCTCCTGATGTCACCAGCCTGGAGACCTGGGAGGGCTGTGTTAGGAAGGGCGCGCAATATTAAATATTTGTCACATCAAACAAAAACTCAAAGAGGTGTTTTGGAGGTCGTACTCCTGTGTCCTAGCTGAGTGTACATGAAGCACACGGGTGGGTTCATTCGTGTGAGACTCACAACTTCTGTCTTGTGTGCATAATTTTAAGAATTTCTCAGCACATATAAGCTTTACTTTTATAAAGAGTAATAAAGAAAGCAACTGCAAACTACAGCTACCTGAGAGCCAAATCCACATTGAGTCTAGGCAAGTTAGATAAAGCAGAGAAACCTTTTCTGTCTGTCTGCAGGAGGAGCATCCCAGCCCAGGTCAACCATATGAAGGAGCATCCCGGACCGCCTACCTTCCAGACTCCCCGGAGGGCAGGATGGTGCTGGGCCTGCTGAGGCGAGCCTTCGATCAGAGACTCATTTTCACCATCGGACGCTCCACTACCAGTGGCAGAAACAATACAGTCACATGGAACGATATCCACCACAAAACCTCAACACATGGAGGACCGACTCAGTAAGGACAATGGCAACACTGCAGCTCATTGATCGATCATTTTGGATTGATTGTACCCTCAGTCTCTTCTATATTTAACCCTTGTGTGGTGTTCGTATTTTTGTTACTCAGCCAGTGTTCATGGGTCTGGTGGACCCGCTAGAGTTTTGGCTTTCCAATTAACACTATCAAACAATTTTATGTTAAATTACTCAACAGATGTTTACTTCATCCCAATTACAAGACATATGAACAGCAAACATGGTTAATTTTTTCCCTTTACCTTTGTTAGATCACATTTATGAATTAATGTGCTTCTCGTTTTTCTTTTATATAAAATGTTATAAATAAATCAGTTATAATCAAGTGGAGTGAGTGGAAAGACACAACACATTTACACGTGAAAAAATAATTAATTGTTAAATTTTTCTTTTGAAAAAAACTGAACACGGGTCTCACAGACCCGAACACCATACAAGGGTTAAGGGGCGTCCACACAGGAAGCATCGCTAGTGAACATTTCAAGCACCGGTTGCAGAGATCACACTTTATTTACCACATCGGTGGTTCTTTTGTTCACTGTTGCTTGAAGTCGCTTACTTTCATGTCCATGCTGCGGTCTCTGGACGGCACCTGCGGTGTGGACGTCCCCTTACAAATGTACTGATGAGTGCATGTCAGCAGGTTTTTGCCTCCGAACAGTTCTTCCCTTGCAAAGAGAACTAGCGTGTATCGATTCCTTTATTTTACATCAGTCTGTGTTAATGTCTCAGGCTCATTATTAGTTTTCATCACAGGTGAAACTGGCTGTAGTTCAGTTTGGTTTGTTAGTGCTAGTTTACCAGGTGCTTTCTATGTCATTTAAGTTAGACACCTTACATATTAGCCCACCTTACAGCCAGACAGCCTTATGAACAACATGCTGGACGTTTCAGACACCAGCAGAACCAGGCAGCCATCTGCTGCTGGGTGGTGAGAGGATAGAGGCGAGCGTACCACAATCAAGGACAAGAGTAGACAGCAGTTAATGACGTGCAACAGTAAGAATATAAGGCAGCACTTATTTTCCTGTGACTGTGTTACAGCTACGGATACCCCGACCCCGAGTATCTCAGCCGAGTTCGAGATGAGCTGAAGGTCAAAGGAATTGAGTAAGTTTAAGGTTTGTGTCTGCACAAAGAACACTTACGATTCCTTTTCTACGTTTTGTCCCTGTTCCATGATTCGACGTTTTGAACATAAACTGTATTTAATATAACCTGTAATGTTGGAAGCAGCTAATATCTGCAAAAGAAGTAACAGTAGTAACACAAAAGGTCAAACACAGTTATGTCCCATTTCAAAAAAAGTCACAAACAGTGCATACGAGTGGATGTAAGGAGCTATGACGTGTGTTTCTGTTCACTTTGTCACAGGTAAAAGACGCAGCCGTCCCAGACTGACCGCTGCTCATCACCAGCTGAAGGCACACGAAGCGTTTCCTCTCGCTGTGCTTTCATGAGTCGTGATTTTTGACAAGAAGCCAGTTTAAGTTGATTCTCCATTAACTCCCCCCTATTAAATATCAGCTACGTTGTATAAATGCACTTTGGTAACACTAACCAGAGGTCTTAATAAGGAGGATGGCTAACATCCCCAGGGTCACTCAGTTGTGTTGTTGGACCTGCAGTGACTACGTTGTTTCACTCAGTGTCGACTAACAAACATGCAAAGTGCTGGGATGATGCTGATTTTTGTGTTGTTCTTTCATTATATGTATTTAGATGTTTGTACACTGATTAGGAGGCATGTTTGTGACTGTCCAGAACTCCAATTTCCTTTTTTTCAAATTATAAGCCACATGAAGCTAAATGAAGGTAATGTTGATTTCCTCTTCTGAGCACAGGCAGCCACAGCATGGCTCCTCCAGGACTGGTGGTGCTATTCTCCAGGCTGATTGGTCAGTGAGCTGTGATTGTATACCTGTTCAATCACACCTGTAACCTTGAACAGAACCTCCTCTTAAGCCGTTTAGAGTCGATGTACGAGGTGAGAAGTGAATCATCACTAAACAAACTAAAGTAACATTCAGCCCACATCACACTTTGAGCTAAAACGTTGCTCTCCAGAGCGTCCGTGAGTGTACAAAGTGTGTGACGTTTAACACACACAGAAAGAGCAAATAGTGCTTGTATGAATGAGTGTGAAGCGCTTTGAAAGAACTGTTCCATTTACTATTCAGGTTTGTGGTGACAGAGTGCTGAATGCAGGGTAGTGTATCAGTGTGTCGACCCACCGACAGGGTGACACAGCTCACTCTACCTGGTGTTTACGTTCAAACCTAAACGTCCCTGTAAGACTTCACTAGTGTTTGGTGAAGCTGTGTTTATCAGTACGCTACAGCAGGCTGCACCACACATCTGTGCCCAGCTGTGTCATCCATCATTTGGTGGACTTTGTATAAAAGTTGCATTTATTCTGACTGAATTCACTGTGTTGCAAACAAATAACAACAAAAACCATGAGTGGGTGTGTCTGTGACTTCTGTTCAATCATTTTCATTGGAATTGAAGCTGGCCTGACAGATTAGTGCTACACAGCTCACACAAGCACAGAGTTTGGTTTAAACATCGAAGTCACACGTTATGATCTGGCTGTTCTTGGATCTGTTTTCAGGACAGTACACAGACTGGAGGTCCCTTTATTTAAAGAGCACACATCACTTTGCTGCAACATGTCATGCCTTATGCACAAGCCTCCTGATGTCTCTTCTCTTGTTAGATATGGAAAAGAAGAAGGCCATCCTAATTAAGCAACATCCTTCATCACGTTCATGGGGAAAAGGCTTTGTACATTTTGACAGTGAACCATAAACTTATGCCTAATTCAAACACATCAATAGGAGAATGTGAGGTTCGATTCTTCTGACAGCCTGACGTGTACCCAGCTATCCAACAGACGGATCAATCTGAGGAGTTCAGCTAAAACGTAGAGACAACGGCTACATCGGCTCCACTGAGAACCACAGTGGGCAAAGATGTAAACACAGAGCTTCTGATTTACATACTGTAGGTTACACTTTACTGATTAACCCTCTGACTTCACAATGGGATTAGTCGACCAAGTTAAAATAACCTCAGAACTCCTGGGCACATCTTGAGTGGGTTCACTGAGATCACAGACCCACACTCTTTCCACTGATAGTGGTACGGTTCATACTCATTTAAACTGAAAACTGCTTCCAAGAAGAAATAATGGCATTAAAGATACACATCGATGAACATGATGCAATCAGTTTGTGCAGTTCTTAAGGCCTTTTGTTTTTGGTGTGCCGTGGTTGTTACTGGTGAAGGAACCTGCTTACGTTTCAGATGACGTTCTCGATTAGACGGAGTGTCCAGGTTCCCAGACTGAGCTTGTGTGGTGCAGACAGTATATCGCATCAGAGTAACGTAAACAGTCAGTTTGGGACTTTGCTGTGTTTGGAGGTTCCTGGAGTTTCCCTGTACTGGAGAAGAGGTGGATTATGAGTCATCAGACGGAGCTCGTTTCACTCAGTGAACACTTTTATTTTATGCACCCAAGACCAGGCAGCGTGAGCACATTCTGGAGGAGGAGCCTGCATTCAGCACCATGTCTCACTGAAATGTGTCATTGTAGTTGGGAACGTACCAACTGTAGCTGTCACTGATGCTGAGTTTGTTCTCTATCAAAGTGGAACATTTGATCCTTAGTAAACAGAGTAAAAAGGCGCTGTCCCACCACCTGCTGCTTTAACCCTGGCGTGCTAACATTAGCCGGTGTGTGTCTGTGAAGGTCATCAGCTCTTTCCAAACTCCTTATAGGGCTGATGTTAGTCCTGCACCAAAATCTGTTTTCATTGCAAATAATTCAGAACTGTTTTTGTTCAACTACTTTTGAGAACATTTCTCCTTTGATCAGCACAGAAACGACAGAAGCTCAAATCCAAAGCACCTTCTGCAGGAGCGTACCCAGGTCCACGATCGGCCGTGTTAATCCCACAGGAACTCCTCCACGAACAGCGAGACCGCTCACAGCTGTATAGCTCTAGTCTTTACCAACCACACATACACACAGGACTTTATTCTGTACACTTCATGCACATCTCCATGACCACCTTAGAATGACCATTTACCCAAGCATGCATGTCTTGACTGTGGGAGGACTAGCTGGAGCAAACCCATGCAGCACAGGGAGAGCATGCAAAGTCCACACAAAAGGCCTCAGCCAACCACGAGACACCACAGCGCTAACGACGACACGGGCGCGCCGCCCCAGGCCGACAGCACTTAGCTGCTTTTATGGTGTCTGATGTTGTTCTGCGTTGAACTGGAAACTGCCACAGCCTGATGGGAAATGACTTTTGGCTTCTCAACACTTGATGCCAGCGTTTTTGCAAACCAGAGAGGAACTTGGTTTATTATCATCATCATGGGTTCTCAAAGTTGTTCAAAATTGGAGCTGAAATTGCACTTCTCTAGTCAAAAGCCTGGTCCAAGTGTGAGCGAGCTATACATCAAGTTTTACTTCTTCATTCCCAACATGTAAACGACCATACAAACCAGTGACGTTACAGAGCTACAGACTGGTGTCAAATGAAAACAAAACCCTGTGGGTTAGTAAGAACATGGAGCCAGGATAGCTTCAGTGCTACAGCATCGTCCGTCACTGGGTGCGTTGATGATGCAAGGCTCGCTCCATCATGTACGGGTCCGTGCTCGTGCCTCGACGGTGGCCACACTGGTATTGTAGGAGAGGTTTCATCATCACGATCAAATTTATACCGGTTTTCAGTGACTCACTTCTAACTATGCCAGCAGCACAACAGAGGCAAACCAAACAGGAGTTAGTGTCCCAACAACTGAGCAAACATCTGGAACTCAATCTGATGGTGGCCCACAGTCACAGAGTGGACCAGTACAGATGTTACTCCCAATAAATTAGACTCCAGCTCATCTAACCTTTTACTTTCCTGCTGCTGTGCACATGTACATCATTGTTGATAACCTGTGACATCTGTACCACACTCTTAAAAAAAGAAAAACAGGATATGAATCAGTGATTTCAGGCCTACCCATACCATCAGCAAGCACTTCATGTGACGTGGCATTTAACCACAGCTAGTTTTTATGAAAGTGAACACATAACTGATGCAGGGTAGAGACAGGGTCATGGAGCATCATCAAAGAGAATCATCAGGAAGGAAAAGAAACAGAAAGAGGAAACAGGGCAGCCCATGCCACAAAATCCAGGCGTCTGGTACCAGAAGTCACTAAAGTCAAAATGTCAGGGTCAGGAGTAATTTTCACCCCCACTGTCACGTCAACGCCACTGCCTGCTGTTCCCTCATTTAGTGAAAGCAGCCACCACAGCCCATAGCAGCTCGTTGGTGTTGGCCTTCATGCTCTCCCCTTCTGGCTCCAGTTCCAGCAGCTGCCGCACTCTCTTCATGGCGAGGTCATACTGATCATCTAACAAGGGGGCAAAGGCATTTTCCAGAACATCAGAGGAATGGGCTAAGAAGATGAGAGCCAGGAGCCGCTTGTCCATTCGATGAGGATCATTCACCCACTTGTCCAGCACAGCCTCCTGCACCTTCTTAATGAGGCGCTGTTTGATGTTGTTGTTGGTCAGGGGATGTGTCGTCATGTCAAACAGCAAAAAGTTCTGCTTCTCCGTAGTCAGGACACCTTTTTCCACCAAGTTTTTGGCCAGCCGTTCACGGACGTTCCTCAGCTGGTAATGAAGCTTCAACGGGTTCCACGTCTCTCCTACAAGGAGCCAACAGAACAGAGAGCGTTAGTGCCGTCACACGCCAGCATAACCAGCTCAGCTACGCCTACACCACAGACAACAGGAAAACCGCATCAGCGCCAGTACAGCAAAGGCCTCAATGAACCTTTAGCTCAATAAACTGTAGACAGTTTGGTGTGATTGGAGATGCCGGTTCTTTAAAGTTGTCGGTGGACTGGTTGTTACAACAACATGCCTGTCAACCTATTCAGGAAGACTGTTATTTACCTGCTTCACAGTGCACACATCACAGCACTCACACTCTAACTACACTTTACCTGCAGACACAGTGTTTTGCTAAGAGTCACTTGGAAACGCAGTGAGGAAGCACACAGTGCAGTGGGAGAGCCCACAGCAGCAGGACAGCTGAACTCACCGCTGAGCAGCTCGATCCAGCTCTGCACAGTCTCTGGTGGCTGAGTGTCTTTGATGTGTTTGAGAGCTTCGTCCAGGAGCACATCACCTGTAGGAGCATCTGACTTGCAAATCACCTGCAAATGCATCCAGAATCAGAGCAGGCAGAGCGTGGAAATGTTCTTAACCCTGAAAGAATCCTGAAGTTAATCCAGGCTTTGCTGAACCATGAAAAAGTCCTTACCAACAAAGTGGGAGCAGATTATTATAGTAAAGACTGACACGACGTGAAACAGCACCGAGTGAACTAACCCATATGGAAAAGAAATAGTAAAAACATATGATTTACTCATGAAAGTGGCCACTTTCTCATTACTTTCATATAATTTTTTTTAGGAAGTATACAAAACATACAAGTTTCATTATATAATTTTTCAAGGGATCTTATATCTGTTTTCTACGGAAGCGTAGAGCTGCCACCCAGGCAAAAGAAAAATACAAGTGTATCACGTTATAACGTGAAAGGTTTATTGTTCTAACAAGATACTTTTCCTGTTTGTACAATATAATATTTATATTGTACGAACGTGATATTATGTTGTACAAACGTGAAAAGTATCTTGTTAGAACAATAAACCTTTCACGTTATAACGTGATACACTTGTATTTTTCTTTTGCCTGGGTGGCAGCTCTACGCTTCCGTAGTTTTCACTCTTGTATGCTTTTCATACAAGTTTCATACAAGACCGAACAAACTTTATAAGATTTATAAATATCTTTTCCATATGGGAAAATACAAACAACTAGGCATGTGTGGGACTAGTCATCGTCGCTGCTGTCACTAGTCAGTACCAGACTTACTAGTCAGTTAATCTGTTAAAATTTTATTCTCAATTATGATAAATGGTTGTGTCCTAAGCAGCCACCAGATGGAGCATCGTTATTGAGAAACACATCAAATCTCAGCTTGATGTTTTGTTATCAAAAATTAACATCAAAATAAAATAAAACGATGCTCAGTTTTAGTATTTGCTAGTTTGGTGAAACCTTTTATTAGCGCATTATTAGTAAAACTTTAAGTTGTGGTTTATTGTAATACCTAGGGCTGTGCCATATGACCAAAATGTTATATCCCGAAATAGGACATTCATCGTCCCGACAACCACATATATCACAAAACGCTTACATTTTCTGTCAGTTCGGTGAATCTCGGGCAGCTCGACCTGTGTGAAGTGTTTCAGCCGGGCACCGTGTAGCTGGAGTCGAGTGTTTTGACCGATGCATGAAACTGTAACAGCCGCATTTGCTTTGTATTCATTACACGGCGTGCTGCGGGGAAAAGCCTGTTCTAATGTTTGAGTCGAAGGTTTATGTTTTAGCACCTGACGGCTCTTTCACTTCTCATCCGTAAACACTCTGCGTACTCTTTCACGTGATTCAGTTTATTTTGAAAAATCTCAACAGGATCTTCAGCTTTACCGTAAAAGGTTTATGTGGAAAACAAACAAGTGGACGTCAGAGCTGTCACTACCCGATCCGTACCGGAAACCTGATCGGTACTACGCATGTGTGAAAGGTGTCTCCTCCCGGCTGAAGCATTTTACGCTAGTTACGGGTCAGAGTATCTGTTAAGAATAATAAGTATCTCTTAAATTGTTTGCAGTAATGAAACATTTCAATGTAATGTAGACAAAAACGAAAAATAAAACGATAGTTACAGATCAGGACTCCCCGATCCGTACCGCGCATGTGCAGATTTTTCTTCTTCTTCTCTTCGTTTAATGGCAGTTTACTCCCCAGTGTACAAGGATACCGCCACCTGCTGACCGAGCGAATGAACCCTATTGTAAAATGAACTAGCGTCATTACAAACGCGTGTTAAATTTGATTTAGTGATAGTAGAGTGCGTTTATGCTCGTCTGTGTAGAGAGGATTGATGGAACAGCGATGATTATGTCCGCTATCACTGTCAATTGTCAGTAAACACTTAATCGGGCTGCTGAATCTTCACGTGTCATATTACTAAGTCAGTATTAGTAAGTCTGTAATTAGGCGCCATTCTTCTTCTTTTACAGCGCTGTTGTTTAATCGGGGGACGAGAAAAGCATGAATTTGTTTGTAAACGGATTATCCATAGTTTAAATGTCCCGGCAGTCGAAAAGGAGGCAGAGCTGTTGAGAAATGCTAGGAGCTAACTGGGCGCTAACCGTGTCACTCTTAACTGTCGCAATGTTGGCAAAGAGAGGAAGTGACGTAAGATTTGCATATGCGTGGTACGGATCGGGTAGCGACAGTAGCCACGTGCTTCCCTCGGGTCCTCAATTGTTGTGACACGTGTTCGAAATGCAGAGAGGTGCGCTCGATTTGCCACACGGAGCAGCGCGAGAGTAAAGCATGAGGGAGGGGCTAATAATCAGTCATTTTTAATGATCGTTGAAAGCCCAGATCGTAATCGAGATTAAAATTCGATTAATTGAGCAGCCCTAACCGTAAATACAAAAAAGTTGCACAAAATTATTTCCAACTAGGGCTGGGCGATTTATCGAGTTTTTTTAAAATATCGATATATTTTCATACGAGATATAAGATGTGACAATATCGTTTATATCGATATAGTCTATGTTACGTTATAATTATACTTGTGGAGCCGCAGGTTTGCCTCTCTTTCGTCCACTTTTGTCTCTACGCAAGGTTACTCGGCCTTGCCTCTCCTTCACTGAACACAACTCCGCCTCCCCCATAGCTTCACCTGCAGGCAATGACAAGATGAAAGCGGAAATCTCCGTTAGCGAGTTACCGTGCGTGGGCTGGGCGGCGTCAACGTGTTAGCGAGCTAACCGCGCTAACGAGCTAACTGCGCTAACGACATGCAGCCCGGAGGGGCTGCACGGCCTAAAATCCTTTCATTTTCTCAAAAATCGACAGCGCGCCTTATGTATGAATTCTGGTTGTGCCTACTGACCGCGAACCGATTTTATGTGGTACACGGCGCTCAGCAATCTGTCAAAAAATGTTTTAATATGACTTTGCTAAGCTACGGAGCTGCACCGCTTGATGGATTGTCGGAGGATTACGGCTACCGAGGAGGAGCCTCGCGGAGTGATACGTGCTGTGCTTCAACGTAATATTACCGTACTGTGTGTGTAAGGACCACAAGTGGCAACTGTTCAGAGACGTGGTGCAGCTGTGAAATCTGTCTCTTTGTTATTACGCTCAGCGTCTATTAGTTTACATTTGACTGCACAATGTGAGCTTTTTGTTATGCACAAAACAACATTGTTTTCTTTTATTTATGGACCATGATTATTTAATAAATGCTGATAATTTATTTTTGAGTAATTTCTTCATGTACATCTACGCTGTATGTAAATAAAAGTGCCCGTGTGACATCTGGGACACAGTGTGACTAAGAACTCTCTTTTTGTTCTTAACTTATGGCTTTAAAAAAATTAATAAATAAATAAATCGAGATATATATCTTATATCGCCATCCAGCTAAAAAAATATCGAGATATGAATTTTGGGTCATATCGCCCAGCCCTATTTCCAACCACAGGAAATTTATTTTGAGTGTCTTCATAGTTTTGTTTTTGAAATACACCAATTTTTATATACTGCAGGAAAACCAAAAATAAATATTATCATGCAAATTTGCAAAGAAAATGGCATATGCATCAAAATAAACTATTTCCAGCAGTGCAATCTGAGTCCTAAGCATCCCAGAAACGACACAGAAAGTCATAAAGTCAAACATAACTTTTAAAAACACCAGTATAGGCTCGTGAGGCCCTGAAGGTAAAAAAACGACATTTCCGCGAAAAATGACGTCACTTCCGGTTCCGGGCAGGTGATGGCGGACATGTGATAGTTCGCGCTGACGTCTATTCCAATGTAGGAAGTGCTATGAACAGCTGATCGGATCGGCAAAGCGTGTTTCTGGAATATTATGTTTTTGTTCCTGCAAGTGTTTTTTATGAAATTTTTGCAAAGCTTTATGTGGAAGGAAACCGTGACCGAGGACAAGCTGATGGCATAAGATGTCAGTACAACTCCTCCGGTTTCTTATGAAAAAAATTATTGCGCTAGCTTGCGTGGTTGCAGTTCTACTGGGATTAAAAATAGTTACGCAAAACGGAGCGTGCTGCTCTGACCGGCTTTAAAGGGTTAAAAAGACTAATAACTAATAAAAACTAAACATTTTGAATGAATCCAAACTGAACTGAAATGAAACTGAATTAAAAACAAAGAACATCTTCAATGCAATAAAAACTGATTAGAAGATACAAAACTGTAACAACATGAGATTTTAGGTGTGTGCTTGGACATGAACAGCTGATATTACACGTCTGTTAAAGATGATTGTTCCTGTGCAGGCCTTCACTACACGCCGTGACACCATGACACTAATACACCAGCAGGGTGACGATGTCTAAACGGGAAACAGCTTGTGTACACAGTGAAAGCTTAAACATAACCGTGTCGTACCTTCCTGGCCAGCAGACCTTTCCTCCTCATGCCACAGGCCTCCAGCTGAAGGCGTCCTCGCAGGGCCAGCTCGATCAGCATGCACCCTCGCAGCCCTGATGAAATGCAGTCATTCCAGAATGAGGTGTAGCCCTGTGCAATGGGACACATCGTCACAATCCAGGTTGTCAAAGAGTGCCAGAAGCCGACGAGCTCAGTACCAAATCATTGCAGGTACTTGGGGCGCCTTGAGGCGACTTTTGTTGTGATTTGGCGCTATATAAATAAAACTGAATTGTATGAGTGTGTCACAGGGCTAACACACAGAGACAGACAACCATTCACACTCACATCCACACCTAAGGGCACCAACTAACTCAACCCCACTAACTGCATGTCTTTGGATGGAGGGCGGAGCTGGAGAGCCTGGAGAGAACCCACGCAACCACGGGAGAACATGCAAACTCCCCATAAAGGGAGGTGGGAGAATCGAACTGCATCCTGTTTGTGGTAAATTCAGTTGACTGTACATGATTGGGAAAGGCACACAGCTGTCTACATAAGCTCCCATAGGTAACAGCACAAGTCAGAGCACAAACCCAGCCATCAAGTCCAAGAACGTGTGTAAACCAGGACTGTATCGAGGCACAGATCAGGGGAAGGGTACAAAAAAAGACTTCTGGCACTGAAGGTCCCAGAGTACAGTAACATCATCTATAAACAGGAGTTTGGAAACACTTCTTAGAGCTGGCTAATCTGAGCAGCACATGACAGGCGCTTGCAGTTTGTCACCTGAGGGAATCTCAGACCATGAGAAACAAAAGTCTGATGAAACACAGATTGAACTCTTTGGCCTGAAAGACAAGCGTCATGTCTGGAGGAAACCAGGCGTCCCTCATCACTTCCTTACAGGTGCTGCCCATGGTGGTGGCAGCATCATGCTGTGGAGATGCTTTCTAGCAGCAAGAACTGGAAGACCAATCAGAGTCGAGGGAAAGAGGAACGCAGCGACATACAGAGACGTGATAACGTGCTCCAAAGAGCTCTGGATCTGGAGGGGAGTAAGCTGTGCGCTTACTTTTGCTTTGACGATCAAAAATGTCTTGTTCCTCACCTCCCACAGAGTTACTCACCGATCCTGACAGAACATATATGCATGTGTCCGTACTGACAGCAGTGTAAGCTGAGTGAGCTCTGGGAGACACTTTGACACTTCTGAGGCAGAATATGGACCACAAATGTCATCGTTGTTCACTGTTAGCATCACAGTGGAATCATGTTTTGGCCACCAGGGTTGTGAGTCGGTCACACGACTGAAAACTGAGTAAATGGCTCATTTTAATGTGTGCACCACCCAGGCTAACTTTTATGATCATTATTTAACAGTTGTTGTTGCAGCAGAGCTTTTCTGACCTCTGACATTCCTCCTGAAGTTGTTCAGTGCTGTGAATGTAAACTACTTCAGTCAGTGAGGGAGGGACTGAGTGCTGGTCTGTCTGTCAGCTGGAGGAGGCAAACACAGCACCGTTTGTCTCAGTATTGTTGACAATTTCAATTCTAGATGACCTGAATATCAGATTATCAGTTCTGTTAACAACCAATCAGCAGCAACTTGTCATCAAAGCAGAGTCCCACAGCCGTGGCATGGGTGAGAGAGGACCACGCTCTACTTTATCAACATGGATCTGAAGGAATAATGTTTGGTCACCCACTGAAACTCATCCGTCTTCATTTCTCAGCCAAATTTGTGATAAACTGGAGTCTTGTTGTGTACCTGAAACTCTCCATCAGCCATTTGGCTACTGAAGCTGCTGCATTTACTCTCTACAGAAGAAAAAACAGTTGTTTGTGTTGCTGACGTCAAAGTTAAAACGAGCAAACATGGTTTGTAATTTTGTTTAAACTGACAAGTTTCCTGTTAAATTTGGAGGTTGAATGACTCCGTTTTAGTTGCATTCCTAATGTTATGTGAACGGGACTGAATCCGTACTCGAGGATTTTAGATTTATCGGTGGATTTCACTTTGCTTGCTGTTCGTAGTTCAGTGACAGCAAATCATCGATACATCTAAACACACCTTTCACTGGTACTGTAGCACTTTGTATTAGTTATAATCAAACACTCCTGTAAACAGTTTTTTACTTTGACTCCATTCCGTTTATTCTTCTTACTCATTGTGTTAGCTTGGAGCTACTAACATCAACGCCAGGATCGCCGCACTTATTCTCCGACCATTACTGCTGAACTACTGGAAAATATCATTTCTTCTCATAATCGTGTAGCACCAGACATTAGCTATCTCGCTGCAGACTGAAGACAGCAACTGTTGTTAGCTACAGCTAGCATTGTAGCAAGCAGGGATGCTAACTTACATAGAGCTGTTTGGAGACTACAGCTAACGTTAGCCGAGCGATAACATTTAGCTTATTTGCTACAGCGTTAAGGCGCAGTTTATCTGCCATTACCTCTCGGTCCTTCAGTCCTAACAGCAACACTTCTTCCATCAGTGTAAGACGTGTTTCTTTGGAGTCTCCGGTATCATCATCGTCCTGATCCTCCGCTCGCCGGGGCCCGTGGTCTTCTTGGCCGGACGGTCGGTCTTTCTCAGCGGCGTTACGCGAGGCTTCGGTCCGCCTCTGCACGAGGCCCGAACTCCTCTGAGTCAACGAAGTCATTTCTGCCGGCGAGTGTGCTCAACAACTACGAAAGCAGCAAGTCTGGGACTACGTTCACCCAAGTACTTGTCAACCATAAGTATTTTGCGTATAGGTTAGTACCCTTATCAGGAGGAGTCCTCCTCCCCTTCCCCACCTTCCGCACCAGCGTCTGTCTAATATGGCGCCGAGCGGAGACTGTGGTACCAAACCTGCTGGATGGGTTTGGTACCACAGTCCTGCTGGATACCAAGCGACCCACCTTTAACTTAGTCTGAACGCCACACCAGCTGGCTAAAAGGCTCATGCTTGGACAGACCCACTGGACTCCTCCATATAATAACAAAATCTAAATACATACACAGATTCATGAAAACAAATAAGTACATTAAAAATACACTTGTTCCCAAGTGGAACCACAAGATAAACATGATTAAAGAACCAAATTAGTTATTCTGGACCTGTTCCTCTCGTGCTCTGTGTCCATTAATCATCTTAACTAACAGGGAAGGAATGAGTGCTTGTACTGGTCGTGCTGACATAGAAAAGCTGTGTACCGTTGCCCGAACTTTAATAAAACATACTCAGAATGCAGAGCATGCAGATCTGTTATAATGCCGTCTGCCTGTGTGAGGATGGTCTGCTAGTAATTCTTGAGAGTTTCACAACATATTGATTTGGCTGGGAGCTAGTACAGTCATGAGTGTAAAGGTGCTAAACGCCGTGTCAGAGAAGACAGAGTTCATCTTCACCTGCTGTGGCCCGTCTGACATGAAAGAGCGATACCAGTTCATCATCATCGTTTATTTGTATAGCACTTTAAAAAAACACACCAGGCAGACCAAAGTGCTGAACAACACAAATCAAAACAACAAAGTTAAAATACAATAAATTAATAAGAAAGGTGTCAGTTTCCTAAAAGCCAGGGAATAAAAGTAGGTTTTCAATCTGGACTTAAAGACCTGCACTGATGACACTTGTCTAATATGGAGGGGAGGGTTATTCCAAAGCATCGGTCTCCTCTGCATTTCAGCCGCGACTTAGGAACCGACAGCAACAGCTGCTCAGCTGAACGGAGCGAGCGAGTAGGAACATGTGACTTCAGCAAATCAGATAAGCATACAGGAGCCAGACAATTTAAAGATTTAAAAACCAATAAAAGGACTTTAAAACGAACCCTAAATTAAATGGGAAGCCAATGTAAAGAAGCCAGGACCGGAGTGATGTGATCGAATTTTCTACTGCCGGTTAAAAATCGTGCTGCTGCATTTTGCACTAACTGCAGGCTTGACAAAGTGCCCAACCCAAGCCCAATTAAAAGGAAATCACAATAGTCCAGACGTGAGGTGATAAAAGCATGAATAAGAGTTTCCAAATTGCTTTTGAAAAGAAAAGGCTTGACCTTCGACAGGCGTCTGAGGTGATAAAAAGCTGATTTTAACATTTACATGACCATCGAAGGTAAGTGCGGAATCAAATTTAACACCAAGATCAGTGATTGAACTTTTCAAATGGGAGGTCAAATCACCAAAATCAACATCTGGAGAATCAGTAGAACGATGCGGGCCAAATAAAATTCTGTTTTTGATCATTAAAATTTAGAAAGTTATTTGCCATCCATGATTTGACATCGCTAAGACAGTCAAGTAGAGATTGACATGGGGAGGTATCCAAATGACTAAAAGGTAAGTAAAGCTGGCAGTCATCGGCATACAAATGAAATGACACTCCGTGTTTACGAAAAATCGCACCAAGAGCGAGTAAATACAGCGAGAAAAATAAGGGCCCGAGGATAGATCCCTGGGGGACACCCCAAAGCAGAGGGGCCACAGAGGACGCGGCCAACCCCAGCTTAACACAAAAACTCCTTTCGGAAAGTTATGATTTTATTCACGACAATGCCAAATCAGAAATTCCCACACAGTGGTGTAAGCGGGAGATCAGCAGGTCGTGGTCCACTGTGTCAAATGCAGCTGTCATGTCCAATAAGACAAGCGCAGCATATTTACCACAATCAGTCGCAACAAGAATGTCATTCATAGCTTTAACAAGAGCTGTCTCCGTACTGTGAAAGGGCTTAAAACCAGATTGAAAGATTTCAGACAGCTGCGAGTCATTCAAGTAGTCTAACAGCTGGGTATGTACAATCCTCTCCAAGATCTTCCTTAAAAAGGGAAGCTTGGAGAAAGGTCTAAAATTCGACATAACAGAACTATCAAGGCCAGGTTTCTTAAGTAAGGGATGTATGACTGCATGTTTAAAGGTCCATTAGACATGGATCCACATTCAGCTGGATCAGTTTTTCAGAAGGACCTGAGGCGAATTAAGAGCAGAGCTAAAATCAATCCCACATATGGTAAATGGACTGGATACACTTTTCTGCTCTATCTGAGCACTCACAGCGCTCTACACTAGTTGTCACTTTTTCCTACACACTTCCTGTCTAACATCCACACTCTGATTGATACATCAGAGATGCAACATGGGGTTAATGTCTTTGCCCAAGGATATTTGGCAGCAGACTAGGATCAAACCACCAACCTTCCAGTTAGTAGGTGACCACCCCACATGCAGAGGGACATGAATTATCAGCAAACATTCATAAAAAATAAACAACAGTCTGGTCTTATATAACCTACTGTTCCCACCTAAACTATTCAGCCTCTTCTCTCAAGAACTTCTGCCGAGATTTTTGTCAGTTGGCACCCGCCCGGCTATAGCTGGGTTTAATTTATTCTGGTGCTAGGATTTAAAAACTACAAATAAAATAAAATTATAACCCTTACCTTTTGACTGGCAACTGTCTCAGGTTGGACTGATGACAGCTGGGTTAAGGTCCAAACCCCTGCCACTATTTTAGACAAGAAGAGTGTTTGAAGAGAATGGATGGAATTAAAATCAGCAGATGTTGAAGTTTCCTATGAAGCAGTACCCTAAAAAGACCAATAAATGGCGCTATTGTACCATTTGCCCTGTAGAGTAGCTCTGTTATACCTATTCTTCATACTGTTTGTGAGGGAGTTCGCCTGTCTTTCCCAGGGTACAAAAGTTGACCAAAAATGGACTGAAGAAAAAAAATCTATAAGAAAACTTAGATGGAGGTATGCCTTCACGCACGCTCAATCATCCGGGTAAGGAAATCCCAGAAAGTTGATTCTGTTCATCTGTTTTCAGTGGGAGAAACGCTTCGTCATCATCAGGTGACTTCTTCAGTCTCAGCTGACTGCAGGTTTCCAACCTTATAAACAGGACATTTGTAAAATGACCTAAACTAGGACCACTGACTAACTATTGGCCATAAGGTCACTGATATGTCACATGGAGGATGTGGACATGTAAGAGAGAGAAAAACTGTCAACAACTCACTCAAGCAGAGAAAAATATCCTTGCAAAAGGGCTGAACTTTGCTACGATGCTGAGATTGTGTAACTGATCACAGCCACAGAGTCAGAAATTCAAAACAACAACACCGCAGATGTGAAAGCAGAGCAACTGTGGATGAAAATGTCGGCCTGTCTCAGCAAAGAAAAGTCCCCAGCATCCAATATCAGCATGGAGGAGAGGAAGGTACTTACACCGCTTAGTAAGGACAACAACAGCACCATCCAGCAGTCTACAGCAGGTGTTGGTTTGCTAAACCACACAGACCTTCATGAGAAAATTTAGCTCAGTGACAAAAATACTATAAAATACTAAAATATGAACCCTTGAAACAAGACCCAGGTAGTGGTCACAGGAAAAGGGTGATAGATTGTCTTAAGCAGTTGACTTTACTGACCAGACCTCAGACCACAAGTCACACCCAGGGGAATCTACACCAAGTCTGTATAGTTAACTAAAAAAAACATAAACAGGGTGCACCTTTAAGACCTCCTTTAAAGCCTGTATGATCAGCTCTGTCACTTGTAACATCTCTTAGTTTCTGGCTTCGATCCTGACCCATTGATAGGCAGCTCTGAACACCACATCCAGAACACTTTGGATTTTGTTGAGAAGGTGAGAGATGTCATCATGGAGGCAGATGAAACCATGGTCTCGTACGACGTTACATCTCTCTTCATTTGCATCCCAGTCACGGAAGCATTGGAGGTAGTCCGTAAGAGATTAGACCCCAACCTCAGCAACAGGACCGCTCTCAGCATCCACCAAGTGTGTTTGAACTGTGTCTTCATTACACCTGTTTCACATACAAGGGTCAGTTCTACAGACGGAAACATGGGTGTGCCGTGGGCTCCCAGTTTCACCCATCGTGGCCAATTTGAACATGGAAGAAGTGGAAAAGAGAGCTCTGCTAATCTACCCTGGAACACCTCCAAGCCATTGGTTCAGATATGTGGATGACACCCGGCTGAAAATCAAATCTCAGGACGTACCACAGTTCACAGATCACATTAACTCTGTGGACCGACACATCAGATTCACCAGGGAGGATATGAAAAGGGGCAGGTTAGCCTTCTTAGACTGTGAGATTTCCATCAGTAATGGGGGACATCTAAAAGCTGACGTGTACCGTAAACCTACACATACGGATCAGTATCTAAGGTTTGACTCACATCAAACGTCATTATATACTCTCTATTGTTCTATTATACTACCTTACAGGACATACTGTGTGGAAGTGTGGGGAAACGTATAAAACACATCCAATATACATTCTGCAAAAAAGAGCATGTAGTTTGTTGTTGCTGTGGTTTACGTGCTGGAAATGGTTTTATTTGTGTATGCTCATGTGTTAGTGTGTATCTATACATCCATCCATCCACTGGAGCACAAACTGGGGGTCATCAGGACACTACAACACAGAGCGAACACCATCCGCACAGACACAGCAGCCAGGGAGGCAGAAGAACATCAAGAAGGCCCTGAGTAAATGTGGCTATCCTAGCTGGATGTTTGTCAAAGCTGGGAAGGCTCCTAAAAAAAGCTCCAGCCGATCCAGGAGTACGTGTCAGGAGTATCAGAATAGTTGAGACAAAATCTCATCTCTTTGACTTTCAAACCCCAAAACGTGCTGCGATAAGGATCCAGAGTATCAAACAGAGTAACATAGTGTACGCTGTTAAGTGCAGGAGGATTGGCAGGATTTATACATTGGGGAAACCAAAGAACCTCTGGCTAAGAGGACGCCACAACACAGAAGAGCTACCTCGTCGGGCCAGGACTCTGCAGTCTATGCACACCTACAGGCCAGTGGACACTCTTTCAATGATGAGGATGTAACATCCTGGACAGGGGGGAGCGCTGGT